TATTAAAAAATAGTTAAAATGCTAAATTTTATTTTTTAAAAATATATTTTTTATAGATTCTAGGGAGGAAGGGAGAGGGAGAGAGAGAGAAATATCAATGAGGAGAGAGAATCATGGATTGGCTGCCTCCTGCTCGCCCCCTATTGGGGTGGAGCCGCATGCGTCCTCGCCTGGAACCAAACCGCAACCCTTCCTTCCTCAGGCCTAAGCCCTAACCACTGCGCAACCAGTTCCGGGAGACCGCTCTTCTTTCCTATTACAAGGTTTTCCCCATTTATCCTTTGTCGTGGATTATTTATGTACTTTACTTTCACAGGGTTACAAGCCCCTTAAAAGATGGGTATTGCCCTAGCTGGTTTGGCTCAGTGGATAGAACTTCAGCCTGTGGACTAAAGGGTCCCAGGTTCGATTCCAGTCAAGGGCACATGCCTGGGTTACAGACTCGATCCCCAGTAGGGGGCGTGCAGGAGGCAGCTGATCAATGATTCTCATCATTGATGTTTCTCTCTCTCTCTCTCTCTCTCTCTCTCTCTCTCTCTCTCCTTCCTCTCTGAAATCAATTTAAAAAAAAAAAAGACACAGTGCCTTCTTAAAAAAAAAAAAAGATGGTATTATTTTTATCTGCACTGAGGACTAGGATGCTAGTCCCAGGAGCAGTGAGCCCCTGAAGCCTGTAGGTAACAGGTCCAAGAGCTGGGATTGGCCCCCGACGCAGGCCCATGAGGAGGGCACCCCACAGCCGCAGGCCCGACCTGAGCTGTGTGAGTCCCGTGGGAGCGGAGGAGGTGCCACCCTTCCAAGGACACTACGTGCTCCCCGCATGCAGATCCGGCCCCTAAAAGCAGAACATTTCTGGGGAGTGGAGTGGGAGGTTATGGGTAACACAGGTAAACGGTGCCCTCTGGTGGGCACTTTTGAGACATAAAAGTGCACCTTCAGGGCCCTCTTGTAGTCCACAAGTGTTTACAGAAATCACCAGCTAGGGAGCTTTAAATATTTCCAAGATAAATGAAAAGGTAAAAAAAAAAAAAAAAAAAAAAAAAAAGGAAATAATTTCAAAGTTAAAATTACAAGAGTTGGCCAGGCTGGCGTGGCTCAGTGGCTGAGCATCAATCCATTTTTTATTCAGCAAATATGTCTATCTTTCCCTTCTAAGTGTTCTGGTTACCTTGTGGTACACTTAGAGTTTTATTTCCAATATTCAGATCGTCTGAAAGTTTCTCCTGTCAATAATGTGAGGAAGGGGTGCAGCTTCACCTTCTATCTGCACACCCTGTGCTGAGCCCTGAGCCCAAGTGTTGAGATGAATACTAATTAATTTCATTCTCACGGCAGTCCTGTGAGGTGTCCCCTTTCATAGATGGGGAAACTGAGGCTTACAGTAACGCACCTCACATCACACAGGAAGTGGAGTAAATTTTTTTTTCCTTCTATTTTGACTTCTATAGTGAAAATCCCATTCTGGCTTTCTGTCCATTTTTTTCATTAGGTTGTGTGATTCTTCTTCTTGTTATTGACTTGTAGAAGTTCTATGTTTTGAGGGTGAGTCATTTTTAGTTACATGTGGCCTGCCTTTTCACTCTCTTTTTTTTTAATTAAATCTTTATTGTTCAGATTATTACATTTGTTCCTCTTTTTTCCCCCCATAACTCCCCTCCTCCCAGTTCCCGCCCCACCCTCCGCCCTCACTCCCCACCCACTGTCCTCATCCATAGGTGCACGATTTTTTGTCCAGTCTCTTCCCGCATCTCCCACACCCCTTTCCCCCCCAAGAATAGTCAGTCCATTCCCTTTCTATGTCCCTGATTCTATTATGATCACCAGATTATTTATTCACTTGATTCTTAGATTCACTTGTTGATAGATGCATGTTTGTTATTCATAATTTGTATCTTTACCTTTTTCTTCTTCCTCCTCTTCTTAAAGGATACCTTTCAGCATTTCATATAATACTGGTTTGGTGGTGATGAACTCCTTTAGCTTTTCCTTATCTGTGAAGCTCTTTATCTGACCTCCAGTTCTGAATGATAGCTTTGCTGGATAAAGTAGTCTTGGTTGTAGGTTCTTGGTATTCATCACTTTGAATATTTCTTGCCATTCCCTTCTGGCCTGCAAAGTTTCTGTTGAGAAATCAGCTGACAGTCGTATGGGTATTCCCTTGTAGGTAACTGAGATTTTTTCTCTTGCTTCTTTTCAGATTCTCTCTTTGTCTTTTGCTCTTGGCATTTTAATGATGATGTGTCTTGGTGTGGTCCTCTTTGGATTCCTTTTGTTTGGGGTTCTCTGCGCTTCCTGGACCTGTAAGTCTATTTCTTTCACCAGGTGGGGGAAGTTTTCTGTCATTATTTCTTCAAATAGGTTTTCAATATCTTGGTCTCTCTCATCTTCTGGCACCCCTATAATTCTGACGTTGGTACGCTTGAAGCTGTCCCAGAGGCTCCTTACACTATCTTCGTATTTTTGGATTCTTTTTTCATTTTGCTTTTCTGGTTGGGTGTTTTTTGCTTCTTCGTATTTCAAATCTTTGCCTTGATTCTTGCGCTCCTCTGGTCTGCTGTTGGGAGTCTGTATAGTATTCATTATTTCAGTCCGTGTATGCTTAATTTCTAGTTGGTTCTTTATCATAACATAGAGGGTCTCATTAGTTTTCTTGAGGATCTCACTACATTTATCGGCAGCTTCTAGACAGTTCTTAAGAGACCTTAAAAGTGTGGTTCTGAACTCAATATCCTCCATTGACAGTTTTGTCCTGTTTCTTTGTCTCCGCATTTTTTATGCTTTCTTGGTGCATCCCCTAGTGGTCTTTGTGCGAAGTCTTGTTGTAGTTAAGCCTTGATTGTTGACGGCAATACCGGGGGTGATTTGACCTCCAGGCTAACTGGCTATGAGAGTCAGCTGTGTCTGCAGTGGGAGAGCTTCTGTGCTGGATCTCTAGGGCGGTGCTAATCTAGCGTTTGCCTGAGGCTATCTGGCAAATGGCTCTGTGCAGAGCTTGGGCAGGGCGGGTCCCAGGGGATCTACAGGGCAGGCCGGAGCAAGCAGTTATGGCTGCTCTCAGTTCCATCCCCAGGGGCTCTGCCTCTCAGAGCCCCAGCAATGGCTGCAAACCTCGGAGAGAAAGCTGCCTTCGAGTTCCGCCCGAAGCCAGACAGTCCCCCTTCTCCCGTTTGAGTCTGTGTCCCTAGAGACTCGCCCGGATCTGGAGCTCAGAGTCTGAAACTCCCTCCTGATTGAAAACAACAACCATGCCCTCCACCTCCAGCCCGCTCCGCGTGCACTCCGCACCTGAGTATTTCACTTCAGCACTGCGCCTCCTCTGAGTCTGGGTATGGTATTCTCTTTCCTCCTAGTTGTAGAATTTCCACTCAGCCAGCCTTCCTGTGGTTCTGGATGATGTCCGTTCCGTCTTTAGTTGTTTTTTAAAGTGGTTGTTCGAGGCAGGAATCTCCAGCGTTAACCTATGCCGCCATCTTGGTTTCTCCCTCTGCATATCCCTTTTCACTCTCTTAATGCTATATTTCAGTTAACAGATTTCTTCATTTAAAAATAATTGCATATTGTTATGTATTTTAAAATATTAATGTTTTCATTTATGGTGGTTATTTTTTTACCTGTTTACCCTTGCCCTACTTTCTCATATTGTTGTTTTGTTTGGTTGTTTTTTGTTTGTTTTTTGTCATTGTTGTTTTTGGTAATCCTCCCTCACCCGAGGATAGCTTTTCCATTGATTTTTAGAGAGTGGAAAGGCGGGAGCGGGGGAGAGAGAGAAACCTCGATGTGAAAGAGACTCATTGATTGGTTGCCTACCACACAGCCCCGACCAACCGGGGCCAGGGATTGAACCTGCAACCCAGGTATGTGCCCTTCATGGGGAATCGAACCTTCAACCCTTCAGTGCTGGGTAAATGCGCTAACCAATGAGCTACACTGACCAGGGCTCATTTTTTACTTTTAAAAGCTTTTGTTGCTTTTATAATTTGAACCATGAAAACCAGTAGAAGCAGACCACCATAGGTCGCACAAACCCCTTTTAAAATGGTTCCGCCCTGCAGCTCTCCAGGCTGGCACCCTGGCCCTGCTTGGCCTCAAAAGAACCCTCTACTCGGCAGCCCCATATCAGGACCCCCTGCGCAGCCCGGGGGTGATGGGGAAGGTGTGGGAGGCCAGCTGTAACCAGAAAGCCATGGGGAAGCAACCTCTAAAGCCGGAGGCTGAAGACACTCACAGGAAGGAAACTGCTGCCCGGGCAGCCCAACCGAAGGGTGTGAACGCCAGAACAGGCCCTTCCCAGGCGGCCAAGTCGCCGGTGTGCACGGGAGTCCCTGGGAGGCTTTCCAGACCCTGCGCTTCACAGATAGTCTGTCCCCGGCTGGTGTTAAGTTCAAGGTCCTGAGGACACGGCCCCTTTCATTGCTTTTTGGACGAGACAGGAGTCCTTCTAGCCTAAAGGGAACGATGTGCCAACAGATTCCCAGTCTCTCCTGCATCCAAAGACCACAGCCCCTGCCCGGCTGGCCTGGCTTAGCGGTTGAGCTTCAACCTATGACCCAGGAGGTCACAACTTGATTCCCGGTCAGGGCACATGCCCGGGTTGTGGCTCGATCCCCAGTGGGGGTGTACAGGAGGCAGCCAATCAATGATTCTCATCATTGATGTTTTTACCTCTCCCTTTCTCTCTGAAATAAATAAAAATATATTTTTTTAAAAAAAGACTGCAGCCCACCCACACCTGTAGCCATCCAGACCCCCTCCTCTCCCCGGAACACCTGGCCACCGGCTGGCTTGTAGTCCGCCCTCCCTTCTCGCCCTCAGTAACTGACGGAGAAATGCTGGTTGATGCCTGAGCAGGGACGAGCCCACACTAGGGCTCGCTGCCTGGGTGGACAGGCCTGGCCCCCCATGGGCTGACCACAGCCCCGACCCTGTCCCACCCACTCCACCAGCCACCCCTCCCTGCCCACCCTGGTGGCCCCCAGAGATGGTCATGGCACCTAGTTTGCTGGCTGGACTTTATTCCAGTCCCCAGTCTTGGCCAGGGGTGGACAGCGGGTGGAGAGCTGTGTCCTGAACCCCTGCTGGAGGGCAGGTGGGGCTGGGACCAGGGTCCGGCCAAGGTCGCCAGCGGGTCAGCGGTAGAAGTCCGGGTCTGCAAGGTCCGGCAGGAAGTAGCGCTGCAGGGCTGGCTGCAGGAGCGGGGGCGGCAGCGGGCGGGCGGGCCTGGGCCAGTCCACGGGGAAAGGCCGCAGCTCCACCCGAGGCAGAGGCAGCTTCAGCGTCCGGATGCAGCCGTCGAGGGTGCGGCCCTCACCGTGCCGGGCCAGCACCCGGCCTGGGGTCGTCAGGGCAGTGAGGCCTGGGGTGAGGTTGAGGCCCCGCGGGACCCAAGCTGGGGTGGGGGTGGGGTGGAGCTCAGGGTCCAATCTCTACCCCTGTCCCCACTCACCCCTCAGTCTCACTGCAGATCCCTGGAGCTTGATCTCCTGGAGCCTGAGAATGGGGTCAAGCCTAGGGTGGTAAGAAGGTGGGTGTGAGCCCTGGCTGGTGCAGCTCAGTGGATAGAGCGTCAGCGTGCAGACTGAAGGGACCGAGGTTCGGTTCCAGTCAAGGGGGACATGCCTGGGTTTCAGACTTGATCCCTAATAAGGGGCATATAGGAGGCAGCCAATCGATGATTCTCTCTCATCATTGATGTTTCTCTCTCCCTCTCCTTTCCTCTCTGAAATCAATAAAAATATATTTTAAAAAATAAAAATAGCCGAAACCAGTTTGGCTCAGTGGCTAGAGTGTTGGCCTGTGGACTAAAAGGTCCCAGGTTTGATTCCGGTCGAGGGCATGTGCCTGGATTGCGGGCACATCCCCGGTGGGGGTGTGCAGGAGGCGGCTGATCGATGTTTCTCTCTCATCGATGTTTCTGACTCTCTATCTCTCTCCCGTCCTCTCTGTAAAAAATCAATAAAATATATTAAAAAAAAATAAAAAATAAAAAAGAAGGTAGGTTTGACTGAGCCAGGTCCCCAGCCCCCTGTGGGCCCTGCCCCAGCCGGTGCCCGGCGCCCTCAGCCGCTCACAGGTGATCGCGGGGCTGTGGCACCACGGCGTTGGGCGGCAGCACGTGCAGCCTCTGGTCCCCGGCCGCCTCCTGCACGCAGCTCCTCCGCTGCTTGCAGAATAAGTTGAGTGCGTCAATCGGCCCCAGGTCCAGCATCTTTGACCGCGACCAGTCTGTCTGCTCCAGCGGCAGTGGGTGGTCAGGCATCGCGTCGGGCGCCGAGGAGCGCACGTGGATGTCGGGCACGGAGGAGAAGGGCATCAGGCTCTCGGAGAACGTGCGGTGGCTGTGGTAGACGGGGAACGGCGAGACCAGCTGCTGGACCTGGGCATCCAGGTCTCTGGGCAAGCCCGGCTGCAAGGGTGTCCAGGAGACGGTGGAGAGAGTGGAGTGCACCGAGTGCCCCGAGGAGATGGGCGACAGCACAGTCTCAGAGACCTTGGGCAGCACCTCCGACAACCTGGCAACTGACGGCTGCAAGGCTTCTACCTGCGGGGGAGAGGGGAGGGGGTGGGGGCAGGAGGCCGAATCGGGGTGCTGCTCCTGGACCCCAGCTGGACCCCGCTGCAGACTCCCTCCCAGGAAGAAGCAGGAAGATCCCGAGAGAGGCGGGACTAGGAGGACAGGTGCCGTGGATCTAGAGCAGTGGTTCTCAACCTTCCTAACGCCGCGACCCTTTAATACAGTTCCTCATGTTGTGGTGACCCTCAACCATAAAATTATTTTCGTTGCTACTTCATAACTGTAATGTTGCTACTGTTATGAATCGTCACGTAAATGTCTGATATGCAGGATGTATTTTCACTGTTACAAATTGAACATAATTCAGGGGATTGTCAAGGGCGGGGAAAAAAAAAGCACACATATGTAATACCCTTTGTAATACTTTAAGCAAAATAAATAAATAAAACTAAAAAAAACCCACAAAACAAAAAAAACCAAATTGAACATAATTAAAGCATAGTGATTAATCACAAAAACAATATGTGATTATGTATGTGTTTTCCGATGGTCTTAGGCGACCCCTGTGAAAGGGTCGTTTGACCCCCAAATGGGTCGCGACCCACAGGTTGAGAACCGCTGATCTAGAGCAAGGCAAGGCCTCCCAGCCTCCCCTGCTCTCCCTGCACCTGGGGAAAGCCCTGGGAGAAGGCAAGAAGAGGTTCCACTGGCAGGTCCCCCTCCTCCCACCTGCAGGAGGTGGGTCATCTCCTCCAGCTTCTGGGAACAGCAGCGGCGCAGCACGGCCTTGCAGTGCAGGTCCATGTCCTGCACCCAGGTCATCATCTCCCTGAACAGGAAGCCCTCCGGGTCCTGGAGGCCCAGCCCTTCCAGCAGCTTCTTGAGCTCTGGCCTGCAACAGGTGAGGGCGGCTCATGCCGCGTCCCCCAGCTCCTGCCTCCCACCCCTGCTGCCGAGGAGGGCGGGCGGAGGGCGGCCTCACCTGCAGGAGGCCGGCGAGTAGAGGAGGTAGGACATGAGCTCCAGCACCACCTCGCGGGATTCCAGGGAGCAGGCCAGCTGCAGCTGCAGAGCCAGCATCACAAACTGCCTCTGGGTCTTTTCCTGAGCACGGGCAGGAGGGCAATTTGTGGGGCCGGCCTGGAGCATGACAGGGCGGGTTGGGGCGAGGCGGGAGGGGTGGGGCGAACCTGGAGGTTGGGGGGCTCGTCCAGGTTGAGCAGGTACTTGAGGGTCTCCTGCAGCTTCTTGTAGAGGGTTTTGCTCATCTCAGGCAGCAGCCTCAGCAGCGCCCGCAGGATGTGCACACGGTCCTCCCAGGAGGCCTCCTTCAAGAGGTCCATGAGCCGCGAGGCCAGGCCGTCCACCGTGCCCACCTCGGGGTATGCCTGCAAGGACAGCAAGCTGAGGCGCTGCCCCTGCGCCACTCCCCCCTCCCCCCAGCCAGCTTCCCAGCCCTCCCCCCCCGCCCCCCCCCCTCAAACCTCCAAGGTGAAGATGGGGAAGAGCTTTTTGAACCAGTTCTGGATGACAAAGAAACGCAGGAACCTGGGCAGGTGCCCGTAGCGCAGTTCCCAGAGCGAGTGCCCGAGGCGGTGCTGGTGGCGGCGTAAAAAGGTCTCTGTCCTGGCAGTAGTCTCCCGGACGCGTCTCTTGGCCAAGGACTCATATTTCTGAATGGTGCTGGTGGCGTGGAGGGCCGTGGTGACCACTGAAGGCCTCGCTTCTCTCTCTACTCTACTCACCGCAGCACTGCTGGGGGCGCGCCCCTGCGTCACTGCCGACTTCTCCAACGTCAGCAGTTCCTGGGAGAGCTCCGGAGATGAGAGGGGATAGTCCAAGGTCCAGTCCAGCTCCAGGTCCAGGTCCAGGTCCAGGTCCTCATCCCCCTCATCCGACCACTGGATCTGGCTCCTGGTGTGGGGCTGTCTGTCCCGCAACAGCCACAGGTCCTCCTGGCTGCCCGCTGGCTGCAGAGGGGACAGCATCACTAGCCACTGGCACGAGTGGCACCCCCCTCGCCCCTGCTGCAGAGCCCTCCCCTGCCCACAGGGCGAGCACCAGCCCCGCCCCTTGCCTTAGAGGAGTCTCTGGCGGTCAGCTGAGGGAGGTTCCCCAGGCCGCTGACCTCCTGGGGCAGCCACATCTGCTGCAGCACCACGGAGTTGGGGACCCAGCCTGGGAAGTGGATGGGCCTCCGCAGGTTCTAGGGGTAGAGGACAGCCTGGTGGGCGAGGACCTGACTTCTGCCCTGTTCCAGAGGCGGTCTGGGCAGAGCACCTGCCACCGCCCAGCTTCCTGCCAGGCCTCCAGGTGCTGAACGGGTGCCCCCCACACAACACACAGGCAGGTGGAGCCTTCAGAAATCACAGGGAGCCCTGGCTGGTGTGGCTCAGTGGATAGAGCAGCGGCCTGCAGACTGAAGGATCCCGGATTCGATTCTGGTCAAGGGCACATGCCCAGGGTTGTGGGCTCGGTCCCCAGTGTGGGGTGTGCAGGAGGCAGCCCATCCATGATTCTCTCTCATCACTGATGTTTCTATGTCTCTCTCCCTCTCCCTTCCTCTCTGAAATCAATAAAAATTTATTTTTTTAGGAAAAGAGAGACGATGGGGCGCATCATCAGGGTGACCTCTGCAGAGAGGGCCTGGGCGGGGGGGGGTCTCACCTTGTAGTGCTGAACAGAGGCAGGAAAGAAGCCCCCAAGGTCGGAGAGGAGCTCTTTGGGCCGCCTTCCCAGCAGCAGCGGGACCTGGGGACGGGCCAGGGGCTCAGAGCCCAGCGGGGACTCAGTGCCCCCCTGCAGCTCTGCCCTGGGGGGCGGCTTGTAGCATCCCCTGCCCGGCCCCTCACCCTGTGCTTCAGGTGGGAAGACGGTGCTTCTGGGGCCGCAGGCGTCTCCTGTCGGAGCTGCTCCGACTGCAGCTGCAGGTCCATGCTGAGGCCCAGGAAGGAGCTCAGGGAGGAGTGGGCCAGCAGCTGGGGCACGGGAGGAGTCAGGGTGGGGGGCAGGGTCCTGCAGTCAGGGCAGAGGGGTGGCAGGGGTGGGAGGCCTCACCTGGGATGCCCTGCTGTGTTCCCGCTGGTGGGTGGGTGGGATGGGCAGGGTGACTCGGGGAGGGTGGGGGAAGCGCTGGCTCAGGGCCCCCTGGTCCCGTGGAGGCAGCATTTTGGGAGAGTCAGTGCAGAGCCCGGCCTTCGCCAGACTGGGGGTGACACTCGGCAGGGTGGACACATCTCCGTTCTTCTCCACTGTGATGGCCATGCTGGTCCACTGCTGGGACTCTGTCTTGGGATGCATGCCCTGGGGGTGCAGGCAGGGCAGGGGGTGGTGCCAGAGCCCCAGGATGGAGGAAGGGGCTGGGTCCGGGCTGGTGCGGGGAAGCACCCCACCCACCAGCAGGGCTGGGCCGTAGACCAGATACAAGTAATTGTCAAAGGCCTCCAGTTGCTGCTTCCAGGAGAGCGGGGCCGGGGCTGCTGGTACCACTTGCCCCCGTCTCAGCTGTTGAAGGTCTTGGTCCCGGGCTAATAAGGGTTCCAGGTCCTGGGGCAGGGGGTCAGAGGTCAGCCAATTCTTCGCGGAGTCTTGCCATGTGCTGCCCAGATAACCACAGGATCCCAGGCCTGCCCCAGGGATGTGGCCCAAGCCTGGGCAGGGGGCAGGGCCGGGCATTGGGGTGGGGAGGGGTCAGGATCCACCTCACCTCCTTCAAGAGCGGCTGCTGAGGTACTGCCGTCCAGTGGCGGATGAAAGACAAGGCCGAGCTGCAGACAGAGATGATAGGAGGTGCACTAAGCGGGACTTGACTGAGGCCGGGACAGTCATTCAGGAGGGTGGCCAGGCCCCTGAGGGGGCACAGGAGACAGGAGGGGGGGTGCCAGGGCTGGGACAGGCTTGAGGTGGCCCCAGGGGCCTGGGAGCCCTGGGACTTCGTGCTGGGACACTGGGGGCACACAGCCAGACCTTGAGCCAGGGCAGCTGGGTGGGAGTCTCCAGGTTGGCTCAGCAGGCCTGCCGGCTGAACTGAGGCTGGCCACCCCATGCAGGCTGGCCAGCCTCTCCAGCTGGACTGAAGTCAGAGACTCCTGGGTGGTCAGCGGCAGGGGGAGGTCATCGAGCCCATCGGGGGGCTTCTGGCACAGCTTCTGAGCAGGGAAAGGAGCCTGGATCCCCGCCCTGGGAGGCTTGTGTGCCCGCAGCAGCCCCCCCCCCCCACACACCTCTGGGCTCACGGCACACCTTAACCAGGTAGGTTGTGGGCAGGTAGAGCCTGTGGGATACCAGGCAGAGGCGGGAGCCCAGGGCTAGCACCAGGTCCCCATTGTTGCTGGAGAAGGTCAGAGCTTGAGGCGCTCCATTCAGCTGCAGGAGTCTGCAGGGGGGTCCAGGGCATGAGGCCAGCCTTGCTCCAAAGAGCAGGAAGCACAGGGAGCAGGAGGGTGAGAGGCTCTCTCCCCTGTTCAGTCGCTAGACTCTGCTGGGGGCGAGGGAGGGGCGCCCAGCTGTCTGCCCCCAGGCTCCCAGCCGGCCATTCCCGCCCTCCCTCCCTCCCGCATCAGGGCCCAGCCCACCGCAGCAGGCGGTTCTCTGTGGTCCAGATCCGCATAGTGCAGTCCAGGCTGGAGGAGGCGTACAGCTTGAGTGTGGGGCAGCAGCACAGGCCTGGGGGCGAGGCTCGGAGTCAAGAATCAGGGCCAGCCCTGGCCAGTTTTGCTCAGTGGATAGAGCCTAGGCCTGCAGACTGAAGGGTCCTGGGTTTGATTCGGGTCAAGGGCACATGCCCGGGTTGCGGGCTCCATCCCCAGTGGGGAGTGCAGGAGGCAGCCGATCAATGATTCTCTCTCATCATTAATGCTCCTATCTCTCTCTCCCTCTCCCTTCCTCTTGTGAAATCAATAAAAAAAAAAAAAAAAATATATATATATATATATATATATATATATATATATACACACACACACACACACACACACACACACACATATACATACACTAGAGGCCCGGTGCACAAAAATTTGTGCACTCCGGGGGGATCCCTCAGCCCAGTCTATGCCCTCTTGCAGTCTGGGACCTCTCGGAAGATATCCACCTGCTGGCTTAGGCCTGCTCCCTGGGGGATAGGGCCCAAGCTGGCAGTCAGATATCCCTCTGGCAGCCCGGCTGCCCTCGGGGGATGCCCACTTGCCAGCAGGGAGCAGACCTAAGCTGCATCCTTAATGTTGCTGAGTAGGCGGGAGAGGCTACCACCACCACCGCTGTGCTGGCAGCCATCAGCCTGGCTTGTGGCTGAGCAGAGCTCCCGCTGTGGGAGTGCACTGACCACCAGGGGACAGCTCCTGCATTGAGCATCTGCCCCCTGGTGGTCAGTGTGTGTCATAGTGACCAGTCATTCCCAGTTGTTCTGCTGTTAAGGTCAATTTGCATATTACCCTTTTTATAGGATAGAGGCCTGGTGCATGGGTGGGGGCCAGCTGGTTTGCCCTGAAGGGTGTCCAAGATCAGGGTGGGGGTCCCACTGGGGTGCCTGGCCAGCCTGGGTGAGGGGCTGATGGGTGTTTGCAGGCTGGTCACACCCCCTTCAGGGTGGGGGTCCCCACTGGGGTGCCTGGCCAGTTTGGGTGAGGAGCTGAGGGCCGTTTTCAGGCCGGCCAAGCCCCCTGACGACGGAAGCTCCCAGCCTCTTTTTTTCTTTATTTTTTATTCTGGGATTTATTTACCTTCTATAATTAAAACTTTGTAGCCTTGCTGAAACCGGTTTGGCTCAGTGGATAGAGCATCTGCCTGCGGACTGAAGGGTCCCAGGTTCGATTCCGGTCAAGGGCATGTACCTGGGTTGCGGGCACATCCCCAGTGGGAGGTGTGCAGGAGGCAGCTGATCGATGTTTCTCTCTCATCGATGTTTCTAGCTCTCTATCTCTCTCCCTTCCTCTCTGTAAAAAATCAATAAAATATATTAAAAAAAAAACAAAAAAACAACTTTGTAGCCTTGAGTGGAGCTCAGAGCCGGCCAGAGTGGGCGGAAAGCTTGGCTTCCTCCATCGCCAGGGGCAACCCAAGCCTACTGCTCACTCTGGCTCCGTGGCCACAGCCGGCTGAAAGCAGGTATCTGGGGTTTATTTATCTTCTATAATTGAAACTTTGTAGCCTTGAGGGGAGCTCAGAGCTGGTTGCGGCAGGTGGGAAGCTTGGCTTCCTCCATCACTGGGGCAAGCCTCCTGCTTGCTCCAGCTCCGTGGCTGCCGGCCACCATCTTGGTTGGGTTAATTTGCATATAGTTGCTCTGATTGGCTGATGGGCATGGCTTAAGGCGTAGCGAAGGTACAGTCAATTTGCATGTTTGTCTTTTATTAGTGTGTATGTGTGTATATATATTTATATGAAAAGAACCACCACCTGGCCCCACCCCTCGGCCCTGCCCCCTCACCAGTGATGTGGTCCAAGTGGTCGTCCTGGGGTCGGTGGTCATAGCGCTGGCTGCTGCGCAGGCCAAACTGCACCAGCCCGTAGGTGGCGCTGTCGGGATCCTCGAAGGCCACCATAATGTTCTTCCGGAGAGCGCACAGCGCCAGGGCGGGGTGGCAGCAGGAGAAGGTGCGTAGCGGGCTCAGGCTCTCCTCCGAGTAGGGGAACATACGCCACATCTTCACCGTCAAGTCCCCGCCTACCAGGTGGGGCAGAGCCAGCACTGGGCCTTTGTGCAGGGAAGGGGTTCCCGGCTCTGGGGCAGTGGGAGGGGGTACTGACCGGAGGACACGACGCTGTTCCAGGTCGATGCGACGGCAGTGACCGGACCCGGGCTGTGCGCCTCTGTGTGGAAGACGGGCTCCAGTGTGTGCCAGCTGAGCACCGACAAGGTGCCATCCGTGTGCCCCACCAGGGGCAGGTACCTGCAGGCGACACCAGCCTGTTGGCACGGGCCCCACAGGCCCGCCCGGCCCTCACTGGCTCTGACACCTACCTGTTCTTTTCTTTTCATGTACATCCTTTTAAAAAAATATGTTTTTATTGGTTTTTTAGAGAGAGAGGAAGGGAGAGGGGGAAGAGAGAGAAACATCAATGAGAGAGAATCATGGATCGGCTGCCTCCTGCACGCCCCCCACAGGGGATCCAGCCCGCAGCCCCAGCATGTGCCCTGACCGGGAATTGAACCTACAACCTCTTGGTTCCTGGGTCGACGCTCAACCGCTGAGCCAGACGGCTGGGCCACCTACCTGTTCTTCTCCTTCCATGTTCGGACGTCGCTGTGGCCCACCTCACCTTTGTGCTGGCGCACCGTCTCCCAGCTGGAGAACGCGCTCCTTGGGTCAGTGAGGTGGCTGTAGAGGTGCAGGCAGCAGGGCCGGGGCGCCGGGAGCGGCAGCGGGCTCTTGCGGAGCAGCACGCGCATGGGGCTGCACGCCGCGTTGGCCCGCACCAGGTGCCCGGCGCGCGTCAGCAGCCACAGCACCTCACGCGGCAGGCAGTAGGCCACGGCGGCGGCGCAGTCCTCAGGCCCGAGCAGCAGCGCGCTCACTGTGCGCCCCGTCTCGGGGTTCACCAGGTAGACGGAGCCATCGGTGCAGGCGCACACGAGGCGAGCTGGCAGGTATGGGGATAGGGGCAGCTCGGGCGCCACCTGCAGGTGCAGGATGGGTGCGGAGAGCTGCGCCAACGGTGAGTATAGCTCGCGCAGGCACCACAGCTCCACGCTGCCCGCGCGCACGGAGAGCACCGGCCAGCCGGGGCTGGCGGGCGCCAGCAGCTGGTTCACGCTCTCTGACCGCGTGCTCTGGCCCCAGTAGCTCAGCATCACTTCGCCCACCTGAGCCACCGCCTGCAGGTCCCACGTGCGGAGCGTCCCGTCCCCAGAGGCGGACAGCACCAGGGTCGTGTTGGGGAGCACGGCAATAGCTGTCACCGGGCCTGCAGGAGGGCGCGTGTCACTCGGGTGCACCAGGGACTGAGAGAGGGGAAACTGACCAGCTCGGGTGACGATAGAGAGAGAAGCTTGGCCAGAGATGGCAGAGATTCTGGACAGCGCAGCGCTCTTTACGGCTGGGTGGGGCGAGCAGGGGCCTCGAGAGCCACGGGGCGGGGTATACCTGTGTGGCCCACGAACACCATCCGGATCTGCCAGTCAGCCCCCCACACCTTCACTGTGCTGTCTCGGGAAGCTGTCACCATGGCCTCCATCTCCGCGCAGTACGCCAGGTCAGAGATGGTGCTGGGGGAAGGCCCGGTGGACTCAGCATGGCCTCCCGGGAGCCTCTGCACCCTGCCCAACTGGCTTTCCCTCCCCCGACTCCCTGGGCCCCCTCACGTTTTGTGGAGATCCTGGCGCACGTCTGTGACAGTCCAGGTGCGCAGATCGAAGGTGAGCACAGCCGAGCCATAGGCCGCGAAGCAGCGAGGGATGTAGTTGGGAGCCAGGGGCCCCAGAGCCAGGCGCGTGAGGGCACCAGCGCAGCTTAACTGGGGCTGCAGCGAGGGCCCGCAAGGCAACAGGCAGCGACCCTCTAAACGGAACTTCCAGAGCGCCAGGCCTCCGCCCGCCTCCGCTACCAGCAGCAGGCGCAGGTCCGGCACCGGCAGGCAGCAGATGGGCTCGCGGCGGGGCGGCCGACCCACTCTTGGCTCACTCAGCCACAGCAGGCTGAGGTCTGGCTTCAGGATGGCCAGCCCTGCGGGGCCCCAGCCCACGAAGCGGCTCATGGAGCCCAGTGGGCCCCGCACAGCCACCAGCCCCGTGAGTGGCACGGGGGCCGGCAGCGTCCCGAGAGCCCAGCCGTCCTCTCGGTGCAGGTGCAGGCAGCCCGCCCCGTCCAGCACCACAAAGCGTCTCCCCACCGGGTCCTGCGCCACCGAGCGCAGCCCGTCCGCCACCTCCAGGCGGCGCAGCGGCTCCAGTCCGTGCGTCAGGCGAGCCACGCGCAGCTCAGATCGCTTCTCCTGCGGGCAGGCCGGGTGGGCAGGCGGTCAGTCCACTGGGGGTAGGAGGGAGAGAAGGCGCCCCGCCTCGGGAGCCCAGAGGATGGCTGGCTCCTGCTAGGGACCCCGAGGGGAGCCGCCAGGCCAGGAGCGAAGCCTCCAGGCAGATGCCGTGGGCCAGGCGCACCTTTTCCACGACGTTGCGGAGGCTTCTCCGCAGCAGCAGCCACAGCAGGCGGGCGCGGGCGCTGGGGGCCGTGCTTCTCCGCCAGGAGCTCCTCAGGAAAAGCTTCGGGACCAGCTTCGTGAACGACAGCTCTGCGGGCCGCGGGGCAGCGCCGTCAGTCACCGCCACTGCGCGGTCTGGGCCGCCAGCCCGGAGGGTGGCGGGCAGCCGGGGACCTCCTGGAGGGCCCGGTGGGTGCGGGGCTGCCCGAGGCGCTTTGGGTTCCGGCTGACATCGCGCGTGGGTGAGGGCCAGGCCGCTCACCATGTTCTTCGAGCAGCCCGGGGTCTGGGACGCCATAGTTGTCAGTGTCATTCAGGTCTGGGTCCAGAGTCATGTCTTCTACTGAAAAGGTGTGGCCGACATCGGACACATCCGTCTCCATTTTGGCGGCTTAACAGCCCCTACTGCCCGTTGCTAGGATACCAGGGGGCATAGCCCCGCCCCCACGCAGGCCCCGCCCCCACGACACGCAGAGCCCAGGTCCACAATAAGTCACATAAACTTTTATTGGAAACAAACAAGCTGCAGCAAAGTGACACTCAGTGCACGCTGCCCAGTGGGCGAGGTGGGGGTACAGGTGGGCGCTGAGAGCAGCCCAAGCCAGGGAGGACGACTGTCAGGCCTGCTTGCTGGGTCTCAGGCCCTGCGGGCTGGAGTGTGCAGGCCCAGGGTACAAAATACAAAAATAAACTCTGTGGTCCAGCGGTCCCTGCCTCAGTCAGTTCGTTTGGGCAGGGCAGCGGCTGTGCCCACCAGGCCCCGTGCTGTCTGTCCAGTCCAGCCACAATGTGGGCAGCAGAGCCTGTGGGGGTGAGTGGCCGTCCATAGGCTGGAACCAAAGGGCTAGGCGGGCAGCTGGAGCTGGAGCCGTGCCAGGGTCTGGCCAGCAGCTGGGGAGGCCCTGGGGCCCCTCAGGTGGGCAAGTCCAGGCACTGGCTGACGCTGGATGAAGCTGGGCCTCTGCTTCTCCTCCTCACATACAGATCACCGGGACTCTGGGCAGAGGGCGGCAGCACACAGGAGCCTTGAGGAGCTAACACCCAGGAGACCAGGCAGAGGGCCCCACCCCACCCTGCCCACCCCACGCTCCAGGGAGCCCGTCTGCCGCCACCATCACACACCTGTCCTCCATGGGGCTGGTCTCCTCGGATCCGCCTTCATTGCCTCCATCTCTGAGTTCCTCCTCCTCCTCCCCCAGCTCCATGTCCAGCTCATTGCCTGCCTCCGAGGGTGTGTACGTGGACCCACTGGGGGAGGGGGGAAGCAGTCTTAGAACTGCCCACCCTGGCCTGCTGCTGTCCCCAGAGGGGACAGAGTCAGGAATGGGGTGGGCCTAACAGGAAGCTGGGGGAAGGGAGACGCCAACCTGATGGAGCGACAGCTGAAGAAAACAATCCGCTTAAGCCGCTTGTTGTAGAAGAAGTAGTTAAAGGACCAGAGGCTGCCGTCTTCCCCAAAGGGGTCCGAGTCCAAGTCCGGGTTGTAGCTGGATAGTGTGGAGTGAGACGGGTGTGAGGCCCCAGGCGCCACGCACACCCAGCGCCCACCTGCAGGGACGCCAGCCCACCTGTAGATGTCACACTCGGCCAGGCAGATCTCCTCGTCCACTGCATTCCACAGCTGTGGCTTCAGGGCCTTGAAGTCCTCCCGCACAGCCGAGAAAAGGCTGCAGTTGACCGCATTCACCACCTAGAATGGGCACAGCTCGGCTGACTAGGTGCCAGGACAGCAGGCATGGACTGGGTTAGGGGCCAGTAAAAATGGGGAGGACAGTGTGAATAGCTGTGGGTGGGGGAGCCCTCACCCAGCTGAGACTGGGCTCCCGGCTGAACTCGTGGCTCCGGGCCGTGCTGAAGTCGTAGTCGGGGCGGAAGGACTCGTTGAGCGTGGCGATCAGGTAGAAGAGCGTCTTGCGGCTGCACGTGTCGCTCAGGGGGCCCTCATCCTCGCCGCCTTGGCTCTTGCTCAGTCTGCACAGAGGAGCGTCAGCCCAGCACTACCCTGCGCCCGACAGCCCCCGTGGGCAGGCCCTGCCCAGGCTCACCTGCTGGGGCTGAGGCCCGAGGTCTGGGGTGGGGACAGGGCCTCCAGCACGTGTGGCTGGCCTTCCTGGCAGAACTGCTTGAACATGTGCTTGTCATCTCCCGCCATCTTACAGGAGTAGCTCTCGATCCTGCAGGGTGGATACAGGTGGGACCGTGGCATGCCACCCCAGGTTCCCCTCAGGGCCAGGGCAGAGGGAGCTCTGAGACCCCAGCTCCTCGAGCCCCACCCTCACCTGCCAATGATGTGGGCATCTCCAGTCTCCACAGTCAGCTGTGAGTTGATGGCCTCGAAGCTCGAGTTCTCCAACAGCTTCATGTCCTTGGGGAGGGCGTCCTGTGCTCTGAGGGGCTAGTGCTGCCCTGAGGACAGGAGGCCAGTCCATGGGTATCTGGCCCCAGGCCCTCTCCCTTCAGCCTTCTCTCGGGTAAAGGAAGCCCAAGTAAACAAGCTAGGCCCCGCCCACAGCCTGCTCCCAGGCCCAGCACCGGCCGGAGGCGATGCGATCCTGTTACCTGAGATGGCAAGTCCAGGCCCCAGCGCAGCCACACCCCCTGCACCTCTTTGGAGTCCTGGGTCGGGCTGGGGGCCCACAGAGATCCTCCTCACCCCAAGACTGCTGGGTTCGTCTCTTCCTTAACACTCCCCATCCCGGTTTGGAACCCGGACACCTGGGGCCCGGCTCGGGCTTGAGGTCACTTGGACTACGCGCTCTTCCCTGTTCTGCGGGCGGCTTTATAGCGAGGGGAAGAGGAAACGTGTAGCCTCCTCTGTTCTCCAAAGTGTGCCTAGCTTCTTCGGGAACGGAGGGAGGGCTCACGGCCCCGGAACGGCACGTACGCGGGCCGCTAGCGCGCTCCAGAGTCCGCCCCGCAGCGCCCGCCTCCCCGCCGGGCCTAGTGGAACCCCCAGCCTAGCCGCGGCGAACTACAAATCCCAGAAGGCCGTGCACCCCAGACATGCGCAAGGGCAGACGCGAGGCCTGCTGGGGTCTGTAGTTCTGGAGGCCCCTATACGACGCCGAGCACAGGGCGGACACCTACTTGCCTGCTGCTCTACGCTCTATCTGGCCGGGCAGAGCCAGGCCGGGTCAGGTCGGTTGGCGTCGATGCAAATGAGAAGGCGGTGCGGGCTCCGGGCAGCGCGGGATCCTCAGGATCGGAGGGCGGCGCCGCGGCCTCCGCTCGGGCCGCACTGTATCCGGAGGAAGAAGCTCTGCGGCGACATCCCGTTACTCCCGGCCCTGCCGGCCGATCCGGGCTGCCACCGCGACATAACCTCGCCCCTGCACGACGCCCGACTATCGCGATGGTTCTGCCCGCCGACCGCCACAGATCGCCCCAGCTAACGAGCTAGCGACCGACCGACCTCTGCCTCCCCGGGCCGGACAACAACAAGCGCCCGCAAGGCCCAGCCCCACGCCTCTGAATGGCCGGCTCCAGCCGCTGCGATCGGGAGCTCCGAGAGCCATTGGGAACGTTACCCGCCGCTCAGTCCCGTCTTTTACATCTACTGGCTGCAGCACCTGTCCGTCACTCTTCTCGCCGCCCGAACCCGTCTTCCTTCCTAGCGCCTATTGGTCACGGCTCCTTGCCTGCCCCGCCCCCGCTGGCCGCCAGGTTCCCAGGAGAGGCAGCTGATCTGCGCGGTGTGGGCGTGGCCGGGCTGCGGGGCGCTGCGACCACCGGAAGGGGCCTGGGAGTGGCGTCCAGCTCTCGCCCGGGTAGACACGGGCAGCTGGGCTGCAGCTCTCCCGCCCGACCCAGCCTTTAAGGCGACGGGACCACGCCTGCCGTCTAGTCGTGGCCGGCGCATCCGTCCCTGACACTTTACCCCGACGTACAAGCCTCCAGGCCCAGCCTCGACCGCCCGTGTCCGAGAGCCTTGGACCGAGTACATCCTGATTAAAGCCGGAGGGTCCGATCTCCCCCTTCCCTCCTTACACCCCGGCCTTCGACCCGCTGGCCGATCCCGGAACCCCAGACTCGCAGCCTCGGTTTCCGGCCGGCACAAGCGCCCGGCGGTCCCAGCCCACGGAAGCGAAGTCGGACGGCTGAGACACGGCTGGACCCGAGATGGTGCCGCCGGCGGGCGGAGCGGCGGCGGCCTCGGACCCGGGCTCGTCCACGGTGCTGCTGACTGTGCACGCCGCCGTGAGGCCGCTGGCCGCCGGACCGGACGCTGAGGCGCAGCTACGGAGGCTGCAGCTGAGCGCGGACCCCGAGCGGCCCGGGCGCTTCCGGCTGGAGCTACTGGGCGCGGGGCCCGGGGCGGTGAGTGGGGGCTGCAGCCCCTCCGCTTGCCGTGGAGTCCCCGTAGCAGGACACTTTCCCGGCTCCGTTTCCTCCCCTGCGAACGGGGGGAATGGTGCCCTCACCTGGATAGGACTCCGGTGCGTTTCCTAAGAGAAGCCGTAAGGCGCGTGGGACAGCGCAGTGGCCAGGCCTGTACCTCGTGCCTTCGGTCCCACGTCTGTGCTTGCGGGAGGCCTGAGCTCTGCCTCTCCCACCCTCAGGTCGGTTTGGAGTGGCCTTTGGAGTCCGTCTCCTACACCGTCCGAGGCCCCAGCCAGCACGAGTTGCAGCCTCCACCGGGAGGGCCTGGGGCCCTAAGCCTGCGCTTCCTCAACCCCCAGGAAGCCCAGCGGTGGGCAGCCCTGGTTCGAGGTGCCACGGCGGAGGGACACAATGGTCAGTGCTGTGGGGCAAAGGTTCATTCGGTTGGCCAGGGACTGTGCTGGGAGGGCGGGAGTCTCCCTGGCCCTCAGGCCTGGATGGGGAAGGTAGTGGGTAAAGCTGGGCCCAGAGCTGGGGCCTGGAGGACCCGACTGGTGTGGAGGGGCAGCGCCAGCAGGCCCAGGGCCTGGGGCGAAGACCGTCTCAAGAGCCGCGGGAAAGTATTCAGTGGGAGAGGGACAGGCTCAGACTGCGCTCCTCAAGGTTGGCTGCGACCTGCACTCGTGGGCGGGTGCAGATAGGGCTGGAGAGAAGGATGTTTGCAGAGATGCTTAGGAGATGAAGTCGGCTGGGTTTTGTGGGTGTTTAACTAGGAGAGTTAGTGGTTGGGACAGAAAGACGGGGAACCAAATGCCCTTGGGCTCCCAGAGAGGAGTCCTGTGTGGAAGAGCACGGACGGGAGTGGGAGTGGTGAGTCTGGGCTGGAGGGGGCCTCTGGAGAGGTGGGAAGGGTTAACCGGGTTCAGCAGGAGTGACGAGCCCACAGATGCATCAGAAGAGCTGCCAGAGGAGCAGGAGGAAAACCACACCAGATGATGTGCCGTAGGCCAGACAGCAGAGCAGTTGTAGAGGGAGAGTAGCTCTTCCATTCACTCCGTCGCCAGGTGTATCCCTGGTCCCGTTCCGGACTCAGCACTCCCTGAGGCCTTGGAGACCGAGCATGAATAAAACGTCCGAGTCTGCTCTCTCGGAGTCTTTGGTTCTAGAGGGGAGGCAGACACAGTGAGTAAATAAAATTGTCAGATGGTGGGAGAGATGGGAGTGGGAGGGAGGCAGTGAAGGTCTCCTTAGGTGACACCGAGTGAAGTTGAAGATGGAGGTGTGATCCATGTGGCCAGAGAGCAGTGGGTGCACAGGCCCTGAGGCAAGAGCATGCATTGAGACGGGGCCAGCTGGTGCTGGGTGCCTGGGAGCACTGCTTGTCTCAGTGGGCAGACAGGTCAGAATTCTGAGGGGCTGAGCTGCCTCAACTCAGGTGGGCTGGGCCTTAAGCGGAGGGAAGGGGAGAGACAGCAACCAGCTCTGTAAGGACACCCAGGGCAGACAGTGGCCTGAGAGGGCTTGTCTGGGATCAAGAGTCTGAGGTGTGCTGATGGTAGAGGAAGGAGAGGGGATGGAGGCCCCTGAGGGCACCAAGAAGAGGCCATGCTGACTGCAGGGCTCCGACGCACCTGCTTTGGTTCTCCTGTGAGGTCAAGGGAATAGCCCCGGCTGGTGGAGAGGGCCTGTGGCAGCCAGGAGAAGTCTAGCCTCCGTGGCAGAGGGACACAGGTGGGACCAGATGGCAGGGGGTCCAGAAGGCTCCAGAGCACAAGTGCAGCTCCAGCTCTGAAAGGACTCAGCAGGGACCCTTGGAAAGGCCAAGGCTTGAGGGAAGGCCGGACTGAAAGTGTGGCCAAGGCAGAGCCCTGGCATGAGCTGAGGGGAGGAGGGAGGAGGCAGGAGGCAAGGGTCTTGGACACCTGAGGTCAGAGAGCAGAGGCCCAGGTGAGGTGAGTACTCAGCGGGGAGGCTGATCTCGGGAGACCACCTGCCCACCCCACGTCTTCCCTCCTAGGCAGTGACACCCTGCCTCCAGCCCTGGGCCCAGAGACGTGCCCTGTTTCCCCACCCAGTCCCCCTGAAGTGCACACACTCAGGGCCCCCAAGATGGATGGTCCAAGTTCTGGAGACTTGATGGAGAAAGGTAAAGGCAGGTTGCCAAAGTGGGTGGGGCAAGCAGCCATGCCCAGCTGTGATGGTGCACTCTCTCCTTGTAGAAGAGCTGGCAGGGCGCCTGGCCCAGGCCATTGAGGATGGAGATGAGAAGGGGGCAGCCCAAGCTGCAGCCCTCCTGGCCCAGCATCATGTGGCCCTCAGTGTCCAGCTCCAGGAGAGCTGCTTCCCTCCTGGCCCCATTAGGTGAGACCTGGGACTTCGTCCTCACCCCCATCCCAATCCTCCAGGCACCCCATCATTCTCTGAACCGAAATTCTGGCCCAGGCTACAGGTCACAGTGGAAGATGCTTCGTCGTCTGCCCACGTCTCACTGCAGGTCCACCCCCACTGCACCATCTCGGCCCTCCAGGAGCAGGTGAGCACGGGGTCTGGGGAGCCCTGCTGGAGGCAGGGACCCTGGGTGACTGCCTGGCCCTGACGCTCTGGCTCCAGGTCTTCTCGGAGTTTGGCTTCCCACCAGCAGTGCAGCGCTGGGTCATTGGCAAGTGCCTGTGTGTGCCCGAGCGCAGCCTCGCCTCCTACGGGGTCTGGCAGGACAGGGACCCTGCTTTCCTCTACTTGCTCTCAGCCCCGCGAGAAGCCCCAGGTCAGTCCTTGATGGTGTTGGGTGAGGAAGGTGGGGTACAGCTGACAAGGCCCTGAGCCCCACCCCCTCTACCATAGGACGCAGCCGTCAGTGCCCCCAGAAGATGGATGGGGAACTAGGCCGTCTATTCTCTCAGACATTGGGGCTGCCCCAAGCTCCTCAGCCAGCCAGCTCCAGCCTCCCCAGCCCGCTTCAGGTAGGCAGGAGCCAGGTAAGGTGGGCCTGGGCAGCTGTGGGCATCGGAAGGAAGGGGTCAGCAGCTACTGTTCCTCCTCCGCAGCCCGGCTGGCCCTGCCCTTCCTGCACCTTCATCAATGCTCCGAGTCGGCCTGGCTGTGAGATGTGTAGCACACAGAGACCCTGCGCTTGGGACCCCCTTCCTGCAGCCTCTACCCAGCAGTCACCAATGGTACCGGAGGCAGGGAAGGGGGTGGGATCGGGAGGACAGCAGAACAGCAAAATGACTCCTCTTCTCCCTACCCCCAGGTCACAAGGAGAGAGGACGGCCCTTCCCTTCCAGGCCCGAGGTCCCTGGATGCCCTTCTGAACCTCTCAGGGGACCTCCACTGACAGCTCCCTGGGGACAGATCCAGAGATGGGGGGAGGGGCCATGAGCCAAAGTCATTAAAGATTCTTCTGAGCCAGCTGAGTGCCCCCACTTTGTGCGGACTGGGCAGCTGGGAGGATGGAGCAGGGCAGTGCCACCCAGGACACCTGGCAGAGAGGGCAGAGTCTGGCTCTCAGCTGGGCTGCCCAGCCGGGTCCAGGTAGCTACTCAAGAGCTTACTTGGACCCCAAGTCCCAAGAGGCCTATAGGCATGGTGCTGAGACCTTCTCACACACTGAGAGGGTTGCAGAGCCCTCACCCACCACCCCAACTGCTGACCACTGGGCTAGGGCCCTCTGTGAGCCCCACTCCCAGCCACCATGCCTCCCCTCCTCCACCTAGAGCCCTTCAGGCATGCACCCTTTTCCTTTCTCCCACTCAGCTCTCTGCTCTCCTAATTGGCCACCACTCCTTAGGGCTGCTCCAGCCAGGATGCCTTAAATTCCCTTCTGGGGACAAGAAAAACTCAGGAGCCCTGAGCCAGGGCCCTGTGCTACTGCTAAGGCAACATGTCCGTGGCCCTCCTACCACTGACAGACCCACTGCGGTCCCCCTCCCCAGCCGGCTGCTGGCCTGGACCCGTGGCAGCTGCCTGTTGATTGCTAGGAGCACTGCACTTCCCACTCCCCTCCAGCAGGGCCCTTTCTCAGTGGACCTCCCTAGCGGTGCAGCCAGAGACCAGGAGCACATTCTGGGCTGGCTCTCCCTGCTTATCTGCTTCCTGAGCAGAGGTGAGAGTTTCTCCCTCCCAGCCATGCCCAGCCCAACAGCTCCCTCAGCTCCTCCTGCAGGCCAGGCCCCTCCCTCTGGAATGCAGCCAAGGGCTCCCTTCCAGCTGCCCTCAGAACGAAGGCCAAGGGGTTCAACACTGACACTTGGCTGGTTTCTCTGGCAGATCCCTGGGCCATGTCCAGCCAGGCCCTTTTCACCTCTCTCCCTACCCCAACGAGCTGCCATCTCTAACAGGTCTCCGCTTCCTGTCTCACATACAGACCTGATGGGACTCCCAGCCAACAGTCAGTGCCACACGGCATGAGACAGTCCTGCAAGCTCCAAGGGCAAGGGTCTTACTCTGAGTCCCCTGCAAACTACACTCTCATCACACAATAGCCCAAATATATCTATTGAGAAACTTAATTTATTTCCATGATAGAAGCTGAAGGATCTGGAGCTCCAGCCCGGTCTCCTGCCCCCTCCCCTTTTGTCCCAGAGAAGAGGGGCTTGGCCAAGAGGGCCAGCTGGGGTCTAAAGAGACCCAGGGTGGCTTCTTGGCTTGAAGGCCCATTCAAACAGGATGGCAAGCAGACCTTCGGCAGGGTCACTTGGGTGGACGATATGCCAGCTTCCGGCTCTTCAGTACTGACCACTTATGCCGCTTCATGGCGTAGACCAGGGGCAACAGCAAGCCCATCATCATCAACATCTGGGGATGAGACAGGCTCAGAGAAGGGAGGCAGAAAGGAGCCCTGCCCAGCTCCCAGCCTCCCTCTGCCATGCCCACTGTGCCCCCTTGCCCGATCCTTTCACCTTGAGCCCCATGCGTTTCCGATGGTCATGCTCTGGCTCGGATGCCCAGCGCAGGAAGGTGCACACATCCTTGGCTACCTGGGACATGGTAGCTGGGGTGCCTGGACCAAGGACAGGTGGTGAGGGCTACCCTTGGGGCCCCTGCCCAACCTAGGATACCCCCAGAGCACCCCTTCCATGGCAGATGGGTCCCCGCCCAAGGCTTCAAAAGGGATGGGACCCCTCGGGACACAATGGCCTGAGCTGGTCAGGGCAGTGAGGCTGCCCACAAGCACACACAGACAGTGCCCCAACCAAGGAGAACCCAGTGGGGAAAGTAGGGACCTCACCATCGTCAAACTCCAAGACCTCGTCGTAGATGGGAGGAGCCATGCCAATGGACTGGCCAGGGAAGTAGGGGTTGAAGTACAGGCCTTCTCGTAGCGACACCCCGGTGGGCGGCTCACAGTAGCCCGTGAGCAGGGAGAAGACGTAGTCTTCGCCACCGTGCCTAGGACCGAATCCATGCCTCCTCAGCCTCTGGCAGGAGTCGGACCTGCCTCCCCTCCCGCCAGCCCTGCGGGAAGCCTGTGTACCTAGCTCGCACGATGTAGCTGAGGTCAGGGGGCACGGCTCCGTTGTTGGCTGCTCTGGCAGCCTCAGGGTTGGGGTACGGTTTGGGTAAGTAGTCAGACAGCTTTCCGGGTCGCATGAACATCTCCCCATCATCATTGGGGCCGTCCTGAATCTCCACCTGTCACGAGAGCACCATCACCCCCCTGCTCTGTCCTCCACAGAGGGAGCCCCAATCCCTGGGTCCTTGGCACCGTCCCCAGGCACCCCACCTCTTCGGCCAGGGCTTTAGCTTCATCCTCAGTGTAGCACACGCCCACCAGGTGGCGGTAAGCCACGTAGTCCATGCTGTGGCAGGAGGAGCACACCTGCTTGTACACCTGGAAGCCCCTCCGGATGCTAGAGAGAGGGAAAGGGTCAGTGGTGCCCGGGGCCCACCCCACCCAGACACCCCCCGCCAGCCAGCCGCGCACCTGGTGTGGTCCAGGGAGGAGAGGAGGCCACGGTGAGACCACGGGTAGCTGGGGGGGTGCAGCTCCAGGTCGCTGGCACTCACCGCCGTGTGCAGAGCCACGGCCAGCCCCGCACCCCCTGCCGCCAGCATGCCCAGCGCGGACAGCATCACTTTTCGGCCCCGGGACGGGCCAGACTTGGACGACAAGGACACTGCCTGCAAGAGCCGCGCTCAGCGCCTGCCAGGCCACCGCCCATCCCATTCATCACCCGGCCCTGCAGACCACACCGCGCCGCTGCCCCCCCCCTCCGCGCCGCTGACCCCTCGACCGTGAGTCCGCCGGGGACGAGGTGTGGGCCGGGGATCACGCCCCAAATGCTCGGGGTGCAGGGGCAGGCCAAGGTCACAGCGGCGGCCGAGGTCAGGCTGAGGTCACTTCAGGACGCGGGCCCCGAGCGGAAGGCGCGAGCCCGCGCGGGCCTGGGCGCGCCCCCAGGGAGAGCCCTCCGCGCCGCCCCGGCAGCGAGCCCGCCCCGCCGCCCCCACGCTCGGCACGCGGCGCCACGGCGGTTGGGAGGAGTGGGCGCCCGGCCCGGTCCCAGGAGGCACCGAGGTCAGCAGGCAGCGGCGGCCCGGCAGGGCGCCGGGGGGCCGGGGACGCTCCCTGCCGTCTGGCCCGCGCCCGGAGCCTCCCCGCCGTGACCTTCAGGGCAGTGGGGCCGCGCGGCGGCCGGGGCCGGGCCAGCGCTCACCTGAGGCGTCCGCAGCGGGAGCTGCCCGGGCCGCGCCCCGCACAGCAGCCCCCGGGCCCGCGCGCCGGGCAGCCCCGCGCCCCGTGGGCCCAGCACCGCCCCGCGCAGCGAAGCCGCCGCCGCCGCCGCCATCTTGGCCTCTGCAGCGCGGCCGCCGCTCCCGACGGCCCCTGCGGCGCCACGGGAGTTCAAAGCTCGCGAGAGCCTGGAGCGTGGGGCGGGGCTAGAGTCGGGGCCTGGCGCCGCCTCGCGATGCCCGTTGTCCACCGTCTCCCTGTGGCCGCGATCACGGTCAAACCCGCGTCTCCGGGCTCAGCGGACATGCGCCCCAATGCCCGGCGACCCCGCCTGGAACCCACGGCGTCTCCTCGGCCCTGGCGCGCTGTTACCCGTGCGAGTCCCGGCCCCGCTCCCGGGGTTGAGGGCTGGCTCGCCGCTGGCGGCTGCACAGGACACGCGTGGGAAGTGCTGGTGTCAGAAGGGGGCGATGGAGAAGCTGACCCGGGAGGCCACTACACAGCACGGCTCCAGTCAAGTGTTTAGGTTCTATATTCGTCCTTCCTACAACTGACCCACACCCTTACCACTGGACTCTTCTGAAAAAAAAACCCAGCCCTGACCGGTTTGGCTCAGTGGATAGAGCCTCGGCCTGCGGACTGAAGGGTCCCAGGTTCGATTCCGGTCAAGGGCATGTACCTTGGTTGAGGGCACATCCCCGGTAGGGGGTGTGCAGGAGGCAGCTGATCCATGTTTCTGTCTCATGGATGTTTTTAAGTCTCTACTCCTCTCCCTTCCTCTCTGTAAAAAAATCAATAAAGTATATATTTTAAAAAATCAAGTGACGGTGAACATAAAAAAAAAAAAAGAAAATGTATTTTTTAAAAAGTGACTAGAGGGCCCTGGCCGGTTTGGCTCAGTGAGTAGAGCGCCGGCCTTGCAGACTGAAGGGACCCCGGTTGATTCCGGCCGACGGCACAGGCCTGGGTTGCGGCTGATCCCCAGTGGGGGCGCGCAGGAGGCAGCCAATCAATGATTCTCTCATCATTGATGTTTCTCTCTCTTTCCCTCTCCCTTCCTCTCTGAAATCAACAAAAATATTAAAAAAAAAAAAAAAAAGTGACTAGAGGTTCCAGGTAGACCTTGGGGCCCAGCAGGCAGACAGGCTGCTAGTCACAGTGGGTCTCCAGCACCCTTGCCCCACGCCCATCCCCACATGCTGGAGGGTACACATGCCCCTCAACAGGGACTAGCACGGACCTCTCTGCAGACAGGTCCCAGAGAAAACCCCCTGGGTGCTGGCCCTGGGAGTGCATCCACTGAGCCCCCACTGTGGAGCCAGGGAGCCAAGGGGTCCACGGGAAGACAGGAATGCAGGCCCCACCACAGGCACAGGCCTGGGCAGGGGTTGGGGGCTGGGGCTTCCTCCTGGGGACTCCCCAGCCGCCAGCTGCACTGAAGGGACGTTGGCCAGGAGTTGACCTCCAGGCAGCGCAGCTCTGCCTCCAACAGGGAGGCCTGTGCGGACCGGACTCATCTCAGCCCTGTGCGGTGCTGGTGGGGGCACTGGGCCCTCCCACAAGAGGCATTTCCAGCCTGAAATGTCCACCTATGATGGACGGGCCAGGGCATCACTAAGGGCCACCCTTCGCTTTTCTTCCCCCTAGAACGGACACTGGATCCTAGGTCCTCTCAGAACAATCAGCACTTCTCTCCGTGCCGACCCACCAGCGCCCTCCCCTGGGGGGCTGCACCCCTGTCCACTGTTTCTGGGTGGGCTCCTGTGCCCCGTCCATCGTGGGTGCCTGGTCTGGTTCCGCTGAGAAAGCTGGGCCAGGTGCTCCTCTCTGCTCCGTCCTAAGCCCGCTCACAGCAAGGTCCTGGCCTTGGCTGGACCCCCAGGCCCCACACCCAGCCTCCTCTGCAGGGCTCCAGCTCCCACACCTCTGCCCACTCAGCCCCAGCACTGACTACGGTGGTGTTGTGAGGTCTCTGGACGCCTCAGCTCCCATTAGACACCCCTGCTGCCCACTGTTTTCTCTTATCCAGCCCTATGCCTCCCACAGCACTGGACTGGGATGCAGACCTCCGGGGTGAGCCAAGATGCCGCCCAGTATGTGGACCGGGGCGGTGCCCTCCAGGAAGGAGCTGTGCACGAATGCCAAGCCCTGCAGGCAGAGCTGCTCCCCCACAGGCCCTGGAGCCCACAGACAGCAGGTGGTGGGTCAGGAGCACAAAGGCAGCTCAAACAAGACATCTGTTTATTTCCTAGGAAGGAGACCATGGGGGTGTTTGGGGAGTTCCTGCCACAGTCTTCGTGCCACAGGGCAAGCAGACATCACTTCCAGAAGAGAACATTCCAGAAGAGCAGCCAGCAGGGGTAGAGGCCCAGCGCCAGCAGCGGGAAGAGCAGGGCGCCGTAGACATGGTGCTCCAGCACGCCCTGGGCCAGCGCCGCCAGGAAGAGCTGCCAGCCCTCGGCCAGCGACAGCGGGGCCTCTTGCAGCTCCCGCCACAGGAACAGGCTGCCCAGGAGTGCGGCTGCTGGACTTGTCAGCACCAGCAGGGCAGCATAGAGTGGCCTGGGTGGAGGAGCAGGGTCAGGGCTCTGAGTTGGGGGCACAGGCAGGAAGTTGGTATGAAGGGGTACTGAGTGAGGGCATAGTCCGTGGTGAGGGGCCCAGGCCCTGGAAGAGGTGGGGGGGAGGGGGGAAGGGCTGGAGGACCAGTACATACCGGGGCCCCCTGGGCTCAGTGAGTGCAGCAGCGGGCACCATGGTGGCAGCCAGCAGGAAGCCCAGGGAGAAGTTGGTGAGGGCGATGCAGGCCAGCTGGAGTGCCAGGTAGATCAGGGCTACCAGCTTCAGTGCCATCCAGCCCTTGTCTGGGGCTTGTGTGCTTACCACACTGAAAGGGAAGGGGCTCAGAGGCAGCCACCTGCATGGCCAGGGGGCCCCCTGCCTGTGCCCACCCAGCCCAGCTCCTCACCGGTGGGTGTTGTGGGGAAGGGCCAGGCCGGCGGCATAGATGGCCAGCAGCGTCAGCACCACAGCTTCAGCCTCAGCCACAGGGAAGTGCTGGGCGGCCACGTGCTGGCCCAGCACTGGTAGGACGTAGAGGGCCAGGCCCATGGCCTGTGAGATTAGCAGGGGTGCCACCAGGGAAGCCAGCCCCAAGCCCTGCAGGGCACACAGGCGGTTGGAAATGGGCCCTGGGGCCAGGTGAGCCCAAGGGTCCTCACCACCATCTCACCTCCCGGGACCCTGGAAGCCCACACTGGGAGCAAGAGTGGAGGGACCATCACCTGTGCTGGGGGGAGGGGAGGACCGGGTCCAGAGGCTGCCCCAGCCTCCTTAGGGCCCCCTCCAGCCTCGTGCAGCTGCATCCACAGTTCCAGGGCGTGGCCTAGTCAAGGACTCTGACGAGAGGTGTGATGGCTCCACCCAGCAGGGAACCCAGAGCTCACCCTGCCTCCCTCACCCCGAAGATGAGGGGCTCTCCCTAGGCCAGTGATGGGAACCTTCTGAGCTCGGCGTGTCAGCATTTGGAAAAACCCTAACTTAACTCTGGTGCTGTGTCACATATAGAAAATTTTTATATTTGCAACCATAATAAAATATATTTTTGATATTTATTTTCTATATTTAAATGCCATTTAACAAAGAAAAATCAACCAAAAAAATGAGTTTGCATGTCACCTCTGACACGCGTGTCATAGGTTCGCCATCCCTGCCCTAAGCCTAGAGGGGAGGGACCTGAGGGAGGCTGGTCACAAGTGGACTGGGGTGCAGAGGATATCTTGAGACCAAGGACCAGGAGCAAGAAGCCAGCCGCAGGCATGTAGAGGCCGATGGAGACAAAGCGGGAGAGGGCGGGGAGCAGGTAGAAGAAGAAGGACTGGTGCAGACGCTCCAGCAGGTGGTTGAGCTTCCGGAACATGCCCTCCAGAGCCCTGCAGGTGGGAGACAAGGTCAAGGCCGGCCAGGGCCCAGCCACTCCCACCTCCAAGCAGGGAACGGGAGAACCGGAGACACTCACTTGCCCACGGCCACCAGGTCGTACTTATACTGGCGGAAACTGTTGATGCCACGGAGGGTCAGAGCCTCCACACGGTAGCGCAGGAAGAGGCCGTGGGGCCCGTGGGGGCGGCCGGAGGCCTGTTGCAGAACCATGAGCAGCAGCGTCTGCAGACCCTGCAGTGGCCCATCTGATGTCCAGTCCTGGGGCTGCAGCTTTGAGCGTTTGGAGAGGAGGTCAGACACCACCCCTCCCCGCCACCGCCCCGCCTCCCCAGGCAGGTGGCCCTACCTTGCCCTGCAGTGTGCACAGCAGCCCCCCTTTCTGGCAGAAGGTCTGGAAGAGGTTGAGCAGGTCAAGGTTGGGCAGCTGCCCATTGAGCCCCTCCACGGCCACGTCCAGGCTGGTGACCACATCGCTGCTCAGCTCCAGGGCCACGGCTGCCTGGATGGCCCCGGCGCGGCCCTGCAGCGGGGAGGACTGCATGCCTGTGGGAGCAGGTGAGTGAGCTGCCCTGGGGGCTGGTGCGGGCAGGGCCGGAACGGAGCGAGGGGCAGGGCAGCGAGCGCACCCACCAGTGACGTTGACGTCGTGGTAGGCTTCCAGCCAAGCCTCGGTGCCCAGAAGGTCGTGTTCCGTCACCAGGAAGATGATGTCTTTGGCCCAGTAGATCTGCCCTGCGGGCCGGACGCAGGGTCAGCAGCCCCCGAGGCAGTGGCCGAGCCCTGCCTGGCCAGGAGTTGCCCAAGACTCACCCCGGAAGTGGGCAGCCAGTGCCAACAGCAGTCCCACCGCCTGGCTGTTGGTAGAGTCGGGGCCACAGGGCACGGTGAGCACCAGAGACTCGGTGCTGGCGGCGCGCGGGGCCCGCAGGATGCCATACACGTTGGTGCCCGACACCATCTGCGGGGGTATCGGTGGAGCAGCTCAGCGCCCCGGGCGCCGTAGAACCCGCACCAGGGGTCTCCCTGGCCCCGAGCCACCCCCAAGGCGCTCTTGGGTCCCGGGCACCCCGACCCCCAAATACATAGCGCTCGTGGGTCTCATCCGGGAAGGGCAGCTTCCGGGAGAAGCTCTGCGTGTAGACCTCCAGCCCCACGGACCGCATCGTCCGCTCCAGCCAGGCCGCCGGCAGCGCCCTGC